GCAGTAACTTACACACCATCCAATTTATTTGAGACTCCCTGCTGTCCATAAGAAAATACCCTGCACTCTAATATATTTCCCCAGAGTCCTTTCTGGCCCAAAGCTCCATCTATTACAGCATCCTGTTTTACAGCTATGCATTTTATTCCTGCATTCATTGGGTACAAGTTCTTGAGCACCTCCTACGTGCTGAACCTTACACCAGACACTGGAATTTAACAGTGAAAAAACTACAATCATAAAGTCTTGCCAGAAAGATGGGCATTACGCTGAACACACAATTGCAACAATGTGCAATGAGTTTGTCAATGGGAAGGGGGTAGTTTCCTGCTCCAAAATCAAGAAGAGTATCCCTAAAGGGGTGACATCTTCTGGATGAGGGGAGTAGCAAGCCACTTGGACGGAAAGATGAGGGACAGGAAAGGGCTCAGGCATCCCAGACACAGGCCTCTTCATGGCAAGGGGAGAGGGCTGCACATCAGGAAGTAAAGAAGCTCAGGTGTGCAGTTTCTTGGAGTCAGGAGCCAAGGCTGGGGAGGGGACAGAGGTCTGGCCTTGGAAGACCCACAAGCCACGTATGCCAAGGATCAGTGGATATTTTCCTGGGGTATCACAAAGCCAACAGTGGGCTTTAAAGCAAGAAACTAACATGACCAGATGCACATTTTTTTAAGAAAAAGTTTACTTTCCCTACAAGAATATGCTAACGCTAGTATCTTTCAGTACAGTTTCAAACAATACTCTGACACCAGCTCCTTCCCACAGTAAAAGATGGCACCTAGAACAACTTCAAAACTCATTTAAAGTAATAGTACCCTTCACTGATGTTCAACACAACTTTCTCTTACTGCCCCTTGTTTTCTCTCCCTGTACTCCACTTAATAGTGTCCATGAATGAGGGACATTGATAGCCTTTTAATATTCCACAAAGCAAGTGGAACTGTGTACACACTCACCACAGGCCTTTTGGAAGGGGCAGACAGGTAATAAGGAGGGGGACCTGGGCATAGTGGTACATGTCTATATTCTTGGCTACTCAGGAAGCAGAGATCAGGAGGTTTGCAGATAAGGCCATCCTGGACAAAAAAGTCAGAAACCCAATCTCAACAAACAAATTAGGTGTGGTGGTACATGCCTGTGAATTCCACCTACTCAGGAGTCAAAGGTATATGGTCCAAGGCTGGCTCTGGGCAAAAACACATCTGAAAAATAATTAAAGCCAAAAGTGTTGCAGGGTGCATGTGTGGGGAGGAGTTGTCATGGCTCAAGTGACAGAGTACTTGCCTAACAAGCACAGGCCCTGAACTCAAATCCAGTACCTCCAAAAAGAAAAAAAAAAGAAAGAAAGTGTGGGGAAGGGGCTATGTGAATCCTGGGGAGGGGTGGAACTGAGTCCCACATTTGCAATGTTTGAGAGGCATGTAACCCGATCATATCAGTGGGTGGTATAACCCTTATTATCATAGTCATCTCTGTTCACAAGTTCACATCCACAGACTCAGCCAACTGTGGATCAAAAATGATTTTTAGAACCAAGCGTGGTGGCACATGCCTGTAATTTCAGATTTGGAAGGTGGAGGCAGGAGGATCTCCAGTTTGAGGCTAGCCTTGGCTACATAGCAAGACTCTGTCTCAAAAAACTAAATAAAAAAATTGTGTCTGTGACAAACACATATCAAAGTTATTTTCTTGTCATTATTCCTTGAACAATACAGTACAACTATTTACATAGCATTTGTATTTATTAGGCAGTATAAGTGATCTAGTGATTTAAAGCATACAGAAGGATGTGCATAGGTTCTATGCATATGCTACACATTTATCTAAGGGGACTGAGAATCCACGGATTTTGCCAGTCTCCCATGGGCACCAAGGGATGACTATATCCTATTTCAGTCTAAGGAGACAAGAGCAGTGCCGCTTCCCCTTAGGCTGAGAGCAGAACACCTCCAAGAATGGTCTAGTTACAGTATTTTGAAGGTCATTGTTAAACCCACAGGAGGGAATTCAGGACATGGGTCAGCTGGAAATAATACCAAATCAGACCAGTTGAAGGATCCTGTTGATAGTCACTAGTTACTATAATCTTTTAATATTGTCACTGATAACTGTAGCTACCTGTTCCCCGGTGCCTCCCATGAGCCAGGCCCTGGCCAGACCTATGTTCTTTGTCCCTTAGCAGGCATATTTATGACAGTTCCCTAGTTAGAATGTCATTAACCAGTACTGAGGGGACCCTCAGTATGTCACCCTGACTTGGGCCACTGCCATCCCAGAGATTACAAACTGACAGTCGACAGTCGCAGGTGGGCCATGAATGCATTTTTATTTGCCCTGAGTGTGTTTAACTTTCAAACACTCATTGTGAACATATCAAGAAATAGTGGGGTTTCACTCAAAAATCCTCACTTGCAGTTTCTCATGAAAGCACGAAGATGGAGCCCTGCTGAGCCTGCATCCAGCCAGCAGTCACCCCCTCCCCAAGATGACCCAGAGGGGCCTTTTAGCTACCCGCTGTCCAGCATGCCCTGGACCACACTGCCTTTCCTAACTCCCAGGCCATCCTCCTTTCTTCCTAGTACCTGCTGCAGTACTATGGGGACCGGGGCCTGTGGCCTATCCTGGAAACCACCACTCCATCCCCAGAATGGAAGGAGAACAAGTTCTTCCCTTGGCTTCCATCACCTTCCTCGACCTCTGCCTGGCTTCCCCAACTGCACTGTCAATGCTGAGCTCCACAGCAGTGCCTCCCAACATGGGGCGTGCACGGCATCACCCGGAGCACTTGTTAACTCAGGAGATGGGCCCCATACTCAGAGATTCTGATCTGGGAGGTCTAGGGTGGGATCCTGATATTCATTCCTAATGTTCGTTCTAGATGATGTCAATCCAGCTGGTGCAGGGAACACACTTTGAGAGCCACCAGTGTACAACTCCAGAAAGAGCCCACATGTTGCTAGGTTCAATGCTGGTGAGGATGGGCACATTTGCATCTTTCCCCTGGCCAAGTTGGGGAAGGAGGGTGTCCATATTTTGAAACCCCATAAACAGCTCTGCAAAACCAAATGGGTCACTGAACCACCTCTGCATTACAGGTGTCCTAAGCAAAGAGCCCACCCATTTCCTCCAAGTCACCATCTGATCTCTTTCCAAATGGCACAGTAAAAGCAGTACCTTCCAATCCCAAGTGTTCATCGACATATGCTCAGGACTCAACATTGAATTGTCCCTCAAGGACCCTGCATCCAAGACCTTAATTATTGCACGACACTGCTCACAGTACCAGCCAACCTCCTGGAGCGCCTGTTATGACAGACATGTCCTAAGCACTTTGCACACCATAAGGCTCCTCTGATATGGAAATTATTATCCTCTCTGGAGTACAGACTGTAAAACTGTGACCAGAGGGCAACTGACTCATCCAAGTTCACCAGCTCTACGATAATCATGGGACTGACTCATTCTTTTCACCAAGGATTAGGCACGATTAGGAATGTAGAGCCCAGATGGTTGATGACTTAGAGACCCACAGGCACCTGGAAATTACGTCCCATGGGACATGCTCACAGGAGGGGGTGGGATTCAGCCCAGACACTGCAGGAGTCAAGAGTTGAGCCAACACTGCACAAGTCTGAGGACGCTCTATAGAGAAAGAGAGTGGTGGCAGTTCTGGGAGCTGCCTTGGTGTCGGGCAAGTAAACTTGTAAGTTTACAACAATTAGAAAAGCCACAAAATGGAACTGGCTGTCTTCAGTGGACCCGACTTCCCAACAACCAGAGGCATCCACAGAGCATGGGACCCACTGAGGATGCTGTAGAACTGCCACCCTCACCACATGGACCAAGGGAAGGGACAGCACTGGGGGAGGTGAGAAACACCTGGGAGACTTTACTAAACCTCCGCCTTTTGCCTCCGGGGGAGGGGGGGGTGGCATTCTGGTAGATGGCCAAATGGTCAATGAACTCATTGTCAGTCTCCAACACACTGGCTGGGTGACCTTGGTCAGAGCACCTAACCTCTGTGTTTCCTCTTTCATACCCAGGAATATTAACAGCTGCCTTAGTGTGCTGTTGTGAGGATTTAATAGCTGCTGCATGTGAAGTGCTTAACATGATGCCTCACACATAATAAGTGCTCAAGAAATTAACAATTATCATATCAAAATAACTATCATTACTACCTTCATCTTAACACCAAGACCCTTACAACTTTGGTTTCAATGACAATGTTTGTGTTCACTTTTCAGCCTCAGTAGAGAGTTTTACAACCTATAATGAAGTCACCAGGTCTGCACTGTATTTAATTTAACACAGAAATACCCACCCAGCAGAATCACAGTTGTGATTAATTCAGGTGTCAGCTCTTCTTCCCTGAGCTGACAAGAATTCCCAGCTGGGTCTTTGGAGATGGAAAACCCTCCCAAGAGCTCCTGACTATGGGAAATTGTGAAGCCTTTATTCTTGCATTATAAAAGTTATCTTATACCCAACCTCCAGGAGGTCTGTGGTCTAGGAGCATGTCAGCTTCCACTACATTGTTTCCCCCTGGGAAGGGCTGGTGGTGCTCCGCTCTTATTTACTGACTCAGACATAGTAGTGTATGCTTCAGAATTAAATTTAAATACTGTTGAAATAAACAACATGACCTTTTCAATATCAGTATGAAGGGAAAACGACATGCTTGAACCAAGGAAAGAAAGAGGGCAAAATTAAATTTTTTGGACTGTGATAGTCCAAAACGGATCTAAACTGTGCTCACCAAAGAACCACCCCTAAAGTTGTCAGCTAAGACAGTTATGATAATTGAATCCATGCAACAAAAACTCAATAGCAATTGTCTTTCACTTATTTACAGAAGTCAGACTGTGTGAATGGTAATCTCCATGCTTGTATTTAAGTAGGTGCATTGACGTCTACCCCTCAGAGGGCATTCAGGGCACACACAGTGGGCAAGAGAAAGAGCCTGAGGACCCCACAGCCAGAGAGAACAGCTTACTTACAGCTTTTGGTTTATATGGAGGCTGAATCTCTTTGCGTTCAAGTTTCTCCCAATCAATATACCGGAAAAATGCGTGTTCCTTGATGTCACGTTCCCCTTCAGGTCCACAACCCAGGCGTTTGCCTGGATGCTTGGTCATCAGCTTCAAGAGAAAGAAAAACATTGAGTTGAATGAATTTCAGATGAGGAAGTGTGAGGCAGTCAGAAATTATTCTTCCAATGACTTAGGAAAGAAAGCACCATGAAGAATCCCAACTAATTCCTATTGTTTGTGCTCATAATTCCCCAGCCAGGTCTTTGTAGGTGAGGAGCTTACACTGGTACCCATGGCTACTCACCCCAAAGCAAGACCCCTCAGGGTGAACCAAACTAAAGCTGGGAAGTGGCCCTGAACATCAGGTTAGAATGTCACAGGACCCAATGGGTTCAAGAACGAGTTTTACGGAATTATTGGTGCATCTGATGAGAACAGTTGTGTTATCTTCAAACTCCCCTCCCCTTCCATGAGAAAACTGACATTCAACCAAGGCAAAGGATAAGTTTATTCAGATACTATTTGCACTTCTCAGTGAAGCACTGACAAAAATGACAAAACAGAAGGAAAAATATTAGTCAAATGGACCCAAGTTTCAAGTAATTACTTTTAGAAAGCTCATTAAATAGTCAAAACCTAGCTGAGCTCATTTTCCTGTATCACACATTGTACTCAACTCTGCAGAGGTTTCTTTGGTGTTCTGTTTAAATTTCTTAATTATCAAAACTCTCCATCTTTGGGTCTCTGAGCCAGAGCTAAATAACAAGATGAGTAGATGCTGTGAGATAAAGCCAGACAGGCCTCCTCCTATAAAAGAAAATATCTCTGATCTTAGCTCTCCAGCAAGTGAACAGAGGAAAGATGGAGAAATTGATGATTAAAAAAAAAAGAAGACTGACAAGAAGGCATGAAAAGAGGGGGAGAAGTGATTGGAACATCCGAGCCCAGGAAACTTCTCTGAGTTGACCTGACACCAAGCATCCCATGGTTTTGCCCAGGCCTGGCTGATCATGGGACTCAGAAATTCACACCTACACCATTGCACAGCCTGCCTATGTACAAGATTCATGGGAACACACTTTCCATACATGCTTTGTTTCCAAGGTGGAAAATCATTGGGTACCTAGTGTTCTAAGCTACTTCTTCCTGTGTTGCGTCTGTTCTTAATGTTCTAAGTATGGCTTCACCCGATTGTCACAATAACCCGATGAGGTGGCTCTTTACTTGTCCCAATTGGAATGACAAGGTGATTGACATGGAGAACTTAAGAAACTACAAGGACTCACAGAGATAATAAGTGACAGAGCTGGGATTGGACCCCACTTCTACCTAGCTTCAAAACTTGGGTTTTGAAGAGAAATGGGAAAATGAAGGGCAGGAAGATAAAACAGGTCCTGTGGGGGTTGATACCAGTGGGAGGGGGAGGACACAAGAAAAGGGTGAAGGAAGGCAAATACGGTGGAAATAGTATGTACTCATGTTTGAAAATAGAAAAATGAGACTGTTTAAACTATTCTAAGAAGAGGTAGGGCATAAAGGGGTGACTCTAACTAAGATACACTGTAAGCACTTTTGTAAATGTCACAATGTACCCCCAATACAACAGTAATATACTAATTTTAAAAAAGAGAGAAATGGGACACGGTTCTGTGAGTGGTTTCCCTGAAGATAGTTGTGGTCTGGCTTGTCAGGAAAGTTCACTGGAAGGCCAGTAAATAGCCAAGCCTTGACATTTATGTAGGATTAGCATGGGAGGGAAGAAAGGTGAGGAGGTCTTGGTTAGAACTGATAATAATAATATTACTAATATTATAATAATATAATATTAATAGTGATATAATAATAATAATATCAGTAATGTTTGTGAGTATTTAGCACATTATATGTGACCAGCATCTATCTTAAAGGCTTCCTGGACATCATGCATGACTTTTTAACCTTTACAATAACACTCTGAGGCTTCAGCAACAACTATTTTTCCAGATGAAGAATCTGGTCCAGAGAAGTAAAGCCACCTACATAAGGCCACACAGCTAAAAAGCAGAGCCAGGCTTTGAACAGAGCTGCCCAACGTAGAGCTCTTTCTGCAATTCGGTCTCTGTTTCTTTCCACTCTAACATGAAGCCAGTCTGGACCTGTTTCAGCTTGTTCAAAATGGGCATGGCGAACTGAGCAATGTTTTGCTGACATTTTAATGGTAGAAAAAAGGACTTTTAATGAGATAGACATAGGAAGAATATCGCTTCAATTGGGAAGGCGACTGTTAGCAAAAGCCTCACTTAATTTCCATGTAAGCAGGGAAATAGCAAGCAAAGAAATGCCACTGGAGAAACATGCCTCACTAATTTGGAGTCTCTGCCCAGTTCCCACACTCTGTTCTGATGTGCCTGAAGCCATGTAGACAGCTGGATGTAATCACTGTTCCGATCTCTGATCACCTCCCAACGCATCCCCTGGGGCCCGCTGGCTGCTCAGGAGGACAGGAGGAAGCATTTGGCTGCTGGCTTGAGCATCACCCCTTATTCTGAGTATCACCCTTGAAGACAGAGCCCACAGTGGACTCAGCCCAATCAGCTCAGAAAGACTCCCAAATCCAAAAGAGAGTCACGCCAGTTAATCCTGAAGGGTACAGGTCCTGAATTAATACAAAACTCCTCCATCAGGGAAACTGCTAATTGGAGCTGAAGCTGAACGCAGCTGACCTGGAAAATTCTCTTTCCTCCATGACCCACTTAGAACCCCCAGCTGCCTGGACAGGGCTGGCGTGGGAAGGGGAAGACCCCACGCATGCACTGAACACCTACTGTGTGCTGGCACCATGCAAGGGGGCACCCTCTTTGGTTACATCATTTAACACTCTTGGAAACTCTGTTCCATGAGTACTTTAATTCTGTTTTTAGAGGTAAAGAAGCAGAAGCCCAGACATGCCGAGGAAATCGCTTAAGACCATGCACCTAGAAATGGGAGGGTCTCTCCGACTCCCCAATCCCCCACTTTTAAAATTCCTATTGCAGGCATTATGTGTCAAGTGACTGACACATAATGCAGTCATGCCCATATCACTGAGAATGACCCAAGGTTCTGAACCAGAGTGCCAGCTCTGGTTTGAGTGATTTATAGGTATTAACTCTTTCAATCATCCAAGACCCTACAGGTAGTATTACTGTTGCCTTCAATTTGCAGAGCAGGTCCAACAACTTCCCCACGATCATGGGGCTAATACTGCCTGCACCTACATTTGAACCCAGAGGGAATTTGGCCAGATGAGGCTTTTTGCAAATTTGAAAGGTCACGTCTGTCTGAAGGAGCAGTGACTTCCAATCCTGCTGCCCGGTACTCTGTAGGAATGGCAAGACCTGATTTTTCCGAGGAGCTGGAAAGCTAGCTGAATGTTTACGGGAAATCTTCTGATCTTGAAATGCATGACCTCCACCAACTACTTCCCCAATCCCATGTCCACAGGGGTCTCCCCCTTACACACCTGATCTTACTCTGGGCCCTCTTTTGTCTGTGGGCTTTGCTGATGCTCCTAACGAACCCCTGGGCCTCCTGTTTTTCTCTCCCTGCTTCACACCCTCTAAGAAAATATTCTCAACCAATTCCCCTGAAGAAGCAGGGAACTGAGGGTAATTCACATGTACCTTCCCCAGAGATATCCGCCTCTTAACCTGTGTGGCTGACATACAAAGCTTAGGTAATTCACCGAGGGGGAATTTAGGCTGTATGACTAGGTACTTTGGGGCTAGAAGGTTGGGCCCAGCTATTGTAATCTAGGCCACACCTCAGGCTGGACTGCTTGATGGTTCTAGCATCCTTCACCAGCACCAGCACAGATGGTATCACAGGATTGGGTAGGTCCCAAGTGTTCAAGGACTCCAAAAATCCAGGCCCGCTTTATTCCAGCACACAGTGGAAACTCAGTGTTAAGGCACAGCCAGGTTGTAACTGTGAGAACTCACCTGCACCGCTGGTTGATAGGAACGTTTTATAAAGGCATCAGCCTTGGACTGACTCCTCTGAGAGTCTCGTAGCACTGCTTTTACACTTCCATCAGAGTTGAAAAGTTATATCCTTTGGACAACATTGCAAAGAAAGTGGTTTGCAGGCCACTTGGGAACTTTTCAAAATCCTTCTGTCTACTCTGATCTCTAGGAGGAGGCTGAGGCCTGTACATTCTGAAAAGGCACTTCAGATCATCTGTGGCTTCAAAGTGGGGCTCAGAATTTCTAAGTCTCACACAGGTCACATGACCATATCTGTACCCAACACAAGATGCATCACAAACAACCCTTCCTGTAAACATGTGCTCTGCTTTCTTCACACATGCATGCGATCTGCATACATGACAGGCATACAACTCTGCAAGCCCTTTCAGCCACTGTGCGTGTACTGGGAGATGGGGAGGTCTACAGGTTTGGGAACACTGGATTTTGGCCAGCTTGTTTGGAGAATCTCTTAAAGTCAATACTGCCTGATATTTTCTTAGAAAAAAAAAGGTCTACACTCCTAGTGTCAACTAAATACACATACAGCAGAACAAGGCAAGGCAGAACAAGTTGTACCCCTTCCCACAAGTTTCAGCTCTTCAGCAGACTCTGCTTGCTAGCTTCCTCCTTCCTTAAGGATTCCCTTGTGTAGGGCTGAGTGCTGGAGTCCACCCAGACACAAGATGCCACAGCACGCATTCCTCCACGGTGCTTCTGTGCTAATTGCAAGACAGATCTCCATGCTGTGGGAGGTATCAGCTCCAAACCAGTCCTCTTATATTGGCAAGTGGAGTAAGAAGCGGCATTCCGTCTCTGTACTCTATGTGTGGCAGTCCTGACCACCACGAGTTTTAAGGGGTTTACTTACTCCTTTGCAGATGGCCACAGCCTCCTTGGACATGGACTTGGGATAAGCCACGTTGTGTTCCATGATGGATTGGAAGAGTTCATCCTCATCTTCCCCTTCGAAAGGTGCCTGTTGGACAGAAGGGAGGGTGAGACAAGGATTCCTGCTTGTACCTTCTCCCCAGCTGTCCCTAACTGCAGGTCCTAGGGGCCAAGGTGAGGCCACACTCCAGAGCTTTCAAGAAGAAGAGAAAAAAATGCCCAGCAAACTTGGATAGCCACAAGGCTGAGAGAGTCACAGAGGTTCAGATTCATGAGCTGTTACCAAGCTGTTACTTTCCCCAAAGAAACCATGTAGATAGGGTGGAGGACTTTCCTTATGGACCACTTAAAATTCAATTACCTGCCCAGCCAACATTTCGTACAGCAGGACTCCGAATGCCCACCAATCCACGGACTTCCCATAGGGCTGATAAGCAATGATCTGGAAAACACAAGGCATCCTGTCAGGCAGGCCCATAGTTCACGCAGTTGGAAACTGAGCTCACACTGCTTTTGCAGTAAGAGTGCACTTGCATGGGGAGGGGAGAAGAGGGAGAGTTCTAAGACATGTGCCCCGCCTACTGTGAAAGGCTACAGTAGCTGTCTCCATCCCAGAGCAGGCCAGCGGCTCAAAGAGCAGACAGGAAGGCCAGTGAGCACCTGAGCGTCTCAGGGGGTGATGGACACATTACAGAGGTACACTCTGCTCGGCAAAGGTGCTAGGCAAGCACCTGTGCATGTCACGTTGCCTTTTTAAGCACTGAGTATGGTATGTTGTTTTTAAATTTTGGGATAGTGCACATGGAATTTTAAAGAGGAGAGGCTATTTTTATTTCTCATTGTAAAAGAAATAACATTTACACAGAAATGTGAATGCACTTAACACTGCTGAACTGTATACTTAGAAATGGTTCAGATGGTAAATTTTATCACATGGCTACTTTAACCACAATTAAAAATAAAAAAGTTTTCAAAATAATAACACTTGTTACTATTTTACTACTTATTTAGAAAATATAGATAAGCTAAAAGAATAAAACAAAAATCACCCATAATCCTTTGTCAAGAGAAAAAAATCATGACTAACGTTCTGTTCCTTTTCAGACTCTTTTCTATGAATGCACATTAGCTGGTGTGTACATTTTAGGTAAGTATAAACATTTTAGTAAATGGTCTTTAATAACGTCTGCTTTTGCGGGGAGGCAGTACTGGGGTTTGCACTAACACTTGCTAGGCAAGCGCTCTGTCACTTGAGCTATACCTCCAGACTTTTTGTATTAGTTTATTCTTCATATAGCGTCTCATGCTTTTTCCAGGTTGGCCTTGAACTGCGATCTTCTTACTTCTGCCTCCCTCATAGCTGGGATTATGGCCATGAGCCACCACACCCAGTCCTTCAGCAGGCTATTCACGTAAGTTTTTCTTGCTAATATTTGTTCATTGGCGTCACCAGTTTTTACCCTGCATAGCATTCTATTGAGTGGCTATGTCTAAATCTACTCATCAATTCCCAATTGATTAGGTCCCTTCTGATGCTGCAATACATAATTCTTGAAATTAGACATTTGGATATCTGTCCAACTGTTTCTGTAAGAGAAATTCTTAGGAGTAGAATTAGTAGATCAAATGGCATATGCAGTTGTAAGTGTTTTTGTTTTTTTTTTTTTTAGTACTGGGGCTTGAACTCAGGTCCTATATCTAAGCTATTCCACCAGCCCTTTTCGGGTCAGGTTTTTTTCGAGATAGGGTCCCTCACGAACTATTTGCCCAGGGTTAGATTTGAACCGTGACCCTCCTGATCTCTGCCTCCTGAGTAGCTAGGATTACAGGGTGAGCCATCAGCGTCTGGCAGTTGTAAGCATTTTGATGACCAAGTCTAGATCAGTTTTTCATCTTCTAGTATGTAGAGGTGAAGAACAGCTGTGTCTAAGAAGTGACAGGTGATTCAGCAAAGGTCAAGGACTGAGGTTTATGGGCTAGACTGCTACTTACCAGGGGACAGACTTAATTTCTTGGAAGCTCAGCTTCCTCTTCTATAAAATGGATTTACTATAAGGCCATGTCCTGGGGTTTTGTGAGAACAAATGAGATACCAGGTGCCTTCACACCTTATGTCCTCACTATGTTGGCTTTTGGTTCAATGTTCTCTAATTCAGCTGTTGCTTGGTTTACTCAATAAAGGTTTTGGAGCAAGCCTGGTTGGCTATAAAGTAAATGTCTGTCTCTCAAACTCCATCTCCCACCTAAGCTTCCACAATAATATCAGAAATTGCAGAGTTGTTGGTCAAAGGATACAAAATTTCAGTTAGGAGGAATAATTTCAAGCTCAATATACAGCATGGTGACGATAGTGAATAAAGAATTGTACGAGTGATAATTGCAGTTTTTAAGTGTTCTCTCCACAAGAGAAGGTAAGTGTATGTAAAGTTGCGTCTATGCTAATTAATTCAAGTTAGCCCTGCCTCAGTGTACCCATATTTCAAAAAATGTGGTCATCATAAATTTTTGTCAATTAAAAATGTATAAATAAGAAAGCGATGCACTAAGAGAAGTAACTGTAAGACTGGAAAGCCACAGGCGAGAACACTTCTCAGTGAGAGTGTTTTCACACTTTTAAGGTGCTTCGTGTCTTATTTCATCCTTGTGACAACTCAACAAGTATCTTTTAACAAGGGAAAATGGAGCCTGGGGAGGGGACAGAAGTTTCCAGAGGTGATGTGGTGAGTGACTAGCAAAATGGACCTGCAGGCTGAAGGACCCCCCCAAACACACACTGCCAGCGCCTCAGGGCTTCCCTGTTGACTGGCACTGAGCTGGGACCAACTGGGAACTACCCAGAAACACGGATCCTCCATTCCATCCCCCAGGGATTCTAATTCCGTGGATCTAGGGTGACACCTGGGCATCCTATACTTCAGAGCTCTCCCCATGACTCTAAGTACAACTGTTGATAATCAGAGATCATCAGTCATGACACATTTAGGGAGTCATGCTCTAGAGTGTGTCTGATACCCCAATTAATTAACCAAAGGATAATGCACTAAAGGATGTCACATGGGGAAAATTCTGCTGGACCCTAATGAATTACTTTTTTAAAAAGATTATCTTATTATTAATCAATAACACACAAACTTAAACAGGAGACAGATGGAGCACAATGTCCCTCTACCACACACTTATCCTCAGAGGTCAACAATTTTATAAAATCGCTCCTGATCGCCCAGACTGTCTGTGCTTTTACGTACATATTTACACAGGCATAGAAAGCCTCTGCAGTATTTTGTGTGTTACCATTATTGTCCAGAAATGGTATGCATCAGCTCGTATTTTCCCTTCTATACCTGATTTTTTTTCTTCTTCACAGAATGTCTTGAAGGTATTCCTGCATATACACATGTACCTAACTCACTCTTTTGTATTGCTGCCTCACAGTATTTTCTACTATAAATAAATCAGTGTCTTGCCCTCACCCCTGTAGAGGGCTGTGGATTCAAGTTAGTCCACACAGATGTACTCTGATCTAAGACAGTGGGAATACTCTAATATGGAATGGAGTGTATTTTAGCTAGTCATTTCTTAGAGAGTCACTGAGGCTGTCTCCAATTTTTCATTATTAAAAGACAATACTAGGATGGAAGAAGAGCTGTGAACACTTCCTTCTCCTGTAGTGTGGGTACACATGCATGTACATGTGTGTGCACACACACATGTATGTGCATTAGCTAGGTTCCTGGAAAGGGAATTGCTTTGACACAAGAGTATGCCAAGCTATTTAATTCCATGGGGACTCCCATCACCATTGTTATATATCAACCAACTGACAGTCAAGAAAAAGAGCAATTCCATCATGTCTTTCCAAGACTCTGCCATCTAACTGGTTCCCTTCCTAAAACATCCAGCAATGGATTGCAGCTTGCCATGTTTCCAGATACCAATTCAGAGCAAGTGGGCACCTGGCCTATCTATTGTGCTATGTCATATTGGGAAACCCACTTGCTGGTTATTCTGTTAGAAGGAGAAGGAGCACCACAAATGGATGCCTACTCTTTCACTTCTGTCTTTACCACAAGAACAGAAATTCAGAGTCATCACAGCTACTGTGCACACTGCACACAGCCTCTGTGTCATATGTCAGCCCTGGGAATGTATTCCCTCTCAGTCTCTCTCAACAAACACTTCAATGTCATAATTAGGAGGTATCATATGGCTGTGAGCCATAGCAGCTTGACAAAGAATTTTACTGATGTGTGTTGGATGGTTCTTTTGAATTTTATTTAATTTTTTTTCCAAACCTTGATGTATTTTGAGCCTGAGCTTCTGGATGTGAGCTCTGTGAATTTGCATGTGTGAACTCAGAGGAACAACTCAGACTGTAGGATAAGGACCAGCCAAGGTTGCCAGGTATCATCCTCAACCCTTCCCAGCCCTCATGACTGCCTGGGAGCAGGAAGGATAGTCAGGATTGTCCCAGGGTGGATGTGTGCAAGGCTGCGTCAGCTCTCACCTCTGGGGCGATGTAGTCTGGGGTCCCACAGAATGTCTTGGTTGTCACCCCGTCCCAGATATTCTCCTTACACATGCCAAAGTCAGCAATCTTGATGTGCCCCTCAGAGTCCAGCATCACGTTGTCAAGTTTGAGGTCACTGTAGCACACAGGAGAGTTTGGGGATTTAGCAAAATGCTATATATTTCAAATCAAAAAACATTACTCATTTCATACACCCTACACACCTGCGCTAGGTGTCATGGGGACACAAAGGTAACTGGAAACAAGCCTTTGTTCTCTGGCAGCTTATGATATGGAAGGGACATTCAAAGGTGTGTGTGGGAGCATAAATATCTGTGCTTTTCTTTCTGTTTTAGTCTTTCAGGTAGAGTCTCACACTTTTGCTCAGGCCAGGCTCAGGCTGTGATCCTCTTACTTCTAGGGTGATAGGTGTGAGCCACCACACCCAGCATCGTGTTCTCCTTTTTCTAGAGTTAACTGTGCCAAGTGTCTCAAGAGGACACAATAAGGCAGCAGTGCTGAGAAGAGGGAGAACCACAGGAAGCTAAACAAAGGCTTCGTGTATCCAAGAGAATTCTAAGAGTTGACCTTTGCAATCCCAGGCCTCTTATGTTTTGTAGGAAGATACAGTTTTCATAAAATTATTATTTTTAAATATCGCTGAAGATCATGGAGGAAAAAACTAGTTGAGAGAAACATTTAACTCCAAGTGCTCCAAGCTCTCCTAGGCCATTTTTTAGGAGATGACCCAGGAATTTGGTTCTTTGGTTCAATCAAAGAATACTGTCACACACCTACTATGCAACAGTGCTATTCCTGCAGTGAGAATTATCAGCCATGAACAAGACAAATAAGAACATTGCTCCTATTCTGATTAAATTCTATTATAGGAGAAAAAGATAATTAAAAAGCATATTCAAATCTATAAGCATGGTAATGATAGATTCTGATAGGAGGGTGACAAAAACAAAGGGGACAATGGATAGCAATGGGGAGGAGGGGAGCAGTCCCTATAAGAAGGGTATCAGTCACTATAAGAAGGACCTCCCCATGGCAGTGACACTGGAGCTTCACCCTAAGGCATATGTGCCAAATTCTCATTCTGTTAGCTCCATCTGGATGAGTAGAGCTTGGTATTTTGAGAATGCCTTGCAGAGCTCCAGCATGTAAGATTGCACCAATGTCAACACACTTTCTTTCTAAATACCTACTCCAATGTCACTATTTCATGTTTCATCACCAGGGAATAGGGGTGATCCCTGCATCAGACTGTCTCAGTCCTAATAGAAGATGGGGAAGTCCAGTTTCCTAGAGGTAAGGGGACCCACTGCTCAATTCTAAATCATCTTGATAGGGTTGTGGATGTCTGTGCTTTCTGGCTTGACTAGTATCTTGTGATGAATCCATCCTCATATTTCTTTGAAAATCACCCTTTACTGATTCTTGAGCCATGTCATGTGGGTGTGTTGACCCTAACTTATGGACCCAGGAGTGGTCCTAAGGGTCTGTCCTGGCCAGTGGAAATATTTCATCCTGTTGGTCACCGTGACTGGCTTTGGAGTGAGCACATGACCCAAACTGCAATCATCAAGATGCTGGCACTTTTGTGGGTACCATTCACAGAGATGAGCTCTTTTTACACTGGGATTGCTAAGGCAGGGGCTGCCAGCTTAGAGGCTCCAAGGGTCACCTGGTAGAGACAATAAAGCTAGCAGGGATAAAGCAGGGCCTAGAGGGAAGGTGATAAAGGAATCCTCAGCGTATCACTTGAGCCTCTGCATCCAACCAGGTCTAAAGCCAGATCTATCCCTGGACTTTTCAGCCACGACAGCTAACAAATACCTCTTTTAACCAAGTTAGATTGAATTGAGTTGCTGTCACCACTTCCAACTAAAAGGACACAACCTGGAACTATTATCCCGGCATCTCCTTCCTATGTCTGTGAGGTCTCTGCATCCATGAGAGAGTCCACTTGCATCCGCTGTTTGTCAACCTCAATACTCCTGTCCCACTTATCTTTGGTGCTGTCCACAGTAACCATTCATAGGCAGCCATCATGGTCTCTGAATTCCTGTTGGAACTTAGAAATGCTGGACTATACAGTAGCTTGCTGTAAACATACTAGACCTCTGTGTGATTTCATTAGCGGTAACACATGGTATCCCCTCAGCACGACCGCATGTCCAGAAACAGGCAGGTGGGCCAACTAGAGAAGTAAAGAAATCTTCATCTAATATAGAAAAGGCATTTCAGGTGCCAAGAGTCAGCAGGTCTTGGGGCGGGAAGACCCCAGTCATCTTTATTGCCACTTAGTTTGCTTTGATACTGTCCTATATTATTTTGTTCCATGTAATAAATTGCCATTGCTGCAAAATGGGGCTGGAACAATTGTTTTCATTTTCAGAAATCCACTGAGAGCAGAATCAACATACCTTCTAGGATAGTGATCAGTAAGTCAGACACTATGTATGACAGGAAGGGTCTTTTGTCCTACCCCCAACACATCCAGCCATGTTCCTCAGTGCTGAGAAGTCTAACCTAAGTTCCTCATCCTCTTTCCTTAAGAACTGTCCAGTTAAGTAGAAATCCAAATGAAGGAGGGAGTGATTTGTAAGATTTTTAAAGACTTTACCACCGTGAAGGCATTCTCTATGAAATTATAAAATCTTTTGTTACATATATTTTTTCTACAGATTTTGTTTGATTGATGATTTCAAGAACTCTGTCTCAATCAAGTTTCTTGATGGTGAGCAACAAAAATCAATCTGGTGATTTTTTAATCTGAAACGAAGCCTCTAAAAGTTATTGGGAGCTCTTAGAATCTCTGTGGAAGCTGGAGAAGTAGGTTAGAACAATGCCTAGCTATAATGTAGAACTGGTCTTGATGTCTGTGCAATGCTAACACCATGCACAGACATCACCTCTTGTTCCATGAAACCCTAATGCTGGACTCTACATGTTGCTGCCAAGATCTGCTTCTCCTTTGGCCTCTGAAAACCAGCAATAGCTGATGACTATGACCACTCTCAGTTCTGTGGTCATGGCTCCTTGGTCACCAGTTTCTGATTCAAGGTCTCAGGTGAGCACAACTGAGTGCCTGGGTCTGTGCCATGGGCTTGCCCTTGCTATAAGAAGGCCATGAGTATGAGCTTGTGGTATCTCCAATCTTTACAGTAGGAAATGGACTCCATTCTCACACACAAAAGAAAGGGCTAAAATGCTGCCTTGCTTACAATATTGGTAAAATATTGATTTAAAACAATACTCGTAATGGAAGATGAAAGAGGGAATTTGTGGATGGGTTAGGAGAAAGCTTTGGAGTAGGTATGGTGTAAGCATATGAAATGCTAATCTTTGGTGTTTTAGGACCTGATTTACCAATGGCCTGAAGTCATGGATCCAAGATCCCAATCCACTTCCTTGCTAGACTGGAAACTAACCCTGAATCCCCAACTCGGTTGACAAGAACTGTTAATTGTTTCCTCTCTGGGTTCCTACCCAGGGGCTAGATTTCCTTCTAACACATTTTGTGGTTCTAAAAACCATGCAGAGTAAAAGACTATTCATGATCATTGTTGTTTTGGTTGAGAGGCAACTAAAGCCATGGGCTTGAATGTAAGATCATGTCTCATGGGAGACAATGTGTGCCTCTGGAGACCAGAGTTACTCTCACTCTGGAGAGGGAAACCAGGGAAGGGAGGACTCATGAGTTCCATCTCTTGCTCCCATGTGATATATGTCATGAGGGCATGCATGGGCAGAATCACCACACTATTTATATTTTAAATTCTTCTTTCTGTTTCTGCCCTCACTGGACTACCCATAAGGCAGGCAAAGCAACTGCCCTTCCTGACCTTCATCCCTCCCTCCATTATTAGGAGAAAGCAGGGAGGGTGGGAGCTCTGTGCTCAGGATAGTAACTTCCCTTCCCCTCTGGATTTCATGTTACCACTTCTAGGAGTGACAAAAAGTCTCAGGACTTCTATATCTTTGCAGCACCCCTGCCTTCCTGCATCCCATCCCTCTACCACCCACAGCCTCACATTCATTATCTACTTTGAATTCACTGGGGCAGATCTCTTCATCCTTTTGATTCCACGCCCTTCAGTGCAATCAAGCAGCAAGAGGCCTAAGGCTCGCGGGTCACCCTGTAACCCTCCAGTCCCCACTCCCTACAGAATATCAGGTGGCCCCTCTACTCCCAGCACCAGCGGCCCTTCTCCTGCTTGGTTTTCTCCACAGCACTTGGCGCTCCTCAACAGACTGCATTTTTATGATTTCTGTACCTGTTTCCCACCATTAGAATCTTAAGCTTCACATTTTTTTCCTCAGCTGCATTTCCCTCTACCCAGAGTAGTGCCTAGCATGTCGTAGGCTCTTACTAAATATTTGTCAAACAAATGAATGACATGGGGTTTTATGGTTTTTTGTGATCTTTAGACCTTCCCCCATGTCAAGGGCCATTTGGAAGCTCCATGCCCCTCCTAGACTCTCTTGTACAAGAAATCAGCCAAAGCCCCCACACTTGTGCCATTTGCATCCCTATAGTTCAAGGAGAACTGTGTGCCCTGAACTCACAGATAATAGCAGCCTCCAGCTCAACAGTGTGCTGTGCGTGAAAGATAAAATGGTACAACTCATACAGCTATGATCATACACTTGCTCCTCCAATAACTGGCAAATGTCAATTTCTGAACTTAATCCTGTCTTTCAGGGCAAGCTACTCAGAGATCCAAATTGTAGTTACACGCAAAAAATTGTTTTATAATAATATGATCCACAATATTCTGCCTGCCAAGATTCTTTACTTGCTCCTCAAATGTGGGGTTAACAGGCAAGAGAAAGAAGTACTGGGACTCTCTTGATGAGCCTCCTCCTCTCAGAGCCTCAGTGGTTTCCTATTTGAGGTCTCAAACCACCATTGGTGACACAGTGCATCAAGATTTTTTTCTATCACCATATAGAGCGGCCCAAAGTTTGCCAGGGCAGTGGGCGATGCTGCCTGGCAGAACACATGTCCAAGTTAGTACTGGAGGATTCCTCCCCCAGCATGGATTCTAATTTTAAAAGCAGTTGAAGAAAGAGGCAGGGAAGGGAGGAGATGGGGGAGATGGGAAGATGGAAAGAACAGCCCTGTTCACTTACCGGTAAATAATGCCCTTGCTCTGTAAGAAGAACAGACCTATGGCAATTTCTGCAGCATAAAATCTGAAATTAAAAAAAAAGTGATAGAGAAATTCAAGGACATGCAATACTTGGCAACTTTCAGAATTTAACACAATATTGAACTGGGTGCAGGGTATTAACATTTCACCATGGATGGTCAGTTACACATCTCATACAGTGCTGAAGATATGGGAAGGTAGACAGGGTGGTTCAGACAGCAGTGAAGCCACCCTGGGGTCACACTGGGGATGGGCAGGGTTCAGTAATCGCATAGTGGGGAGAGCGCCATGGAAGGATGGAGTAGATGGGGAGGGATAATTTTAGATCATTGCAAGCTGAAAGACCTTAAACAGCTAACATCTGTTGAAGGCTTACCATCTACCTAGCATTTTAGGTAGCATTTACCTAGCATTTTATCTGATTTGATCCTAGTCCTAATCTCATGATGTAGGTCCCACTAAGATGTCTTACTTTTCAAATGAGGAAATTGAGGCTTAGGAAGATGAACTCTAGGAAGAGTATGATCTTGTGAAAATGAATGGCACAGTCAGGACTGGAAACAGCACGCATCTGTAGTGCAACCTCTCAAGGAAGGGTCACAAAGAAAGAAAGGTTTGAGAAAACTAGAAAACCCAGGTAAACAAGGGTTAGGCTGGGCTTTGGGGAACTATGTTAGATCCTGATAATATGTCTCATGTGATAATGGAAGCAAACTTGTGATCAACTGGATGTCAAAAATTCATTAGAATTGTACCAAAGGACACCAATGGCTTGACTTAGCACAAGAATATGCAGACCCTCCCAGAACACAGTGCTCACCACCTCGGTAGGTGGAGGAGAGGATGCAGGCTGACCAGAATAGGAGCCAACAAGTGTCTGGAATGTTGGGGTGAAGTCCCAGACAAGCCTGCATGCTTTCTGGAGGGCCATAAAGATCTTAGCAAACTCCTCGGGCAAGGGTGCTGATGCTCACTCCCATGGCTGGCTGTGCTTCTGTCCACCACCGGGATTCTAAACAAGGGAGTAAACATGCCGAGATTTCTGTTTTGAAAAGAAGAGATGCTGGCCGGATTATGGGCTAATGGGGACAAAATAGGTTTAGGTTTCCAAAAACCTGGAACCAATTTCCCATTGCCACTAATGAAAGCATTTGAGAGGGAGAGTGGTGTAGGAAAAGAACATGAGCAAAAACACAGGGCTGAGTTCCAGATGAGTCTTGTGCTAGCTCTGAGATCCCAAGCAAGCTTCCAGACTCCTTTTGGGGCTCAGTTCCTTGTTTATAAAGAAAGGTAATAATACCTACCTCTCAGTATTGCTCTTAGGATTCAGTGTCACCCTGTTTGTTGAGCACACAGGGCTGGCACGTAGTAATCCCTCAATAAGTTTTAGCAAATGAACAGACAAAACCCACAACAGAATTCCCCAAAGAAACTATAAAGCCTTCATCAGGACCCAAGACAAGAATTACAGACAAAAAGCTGTGGGGTTAGTTCTTCATGTTTTCGGTTGGTATCTCTAAAAACCAAGAAACATCTCTAAATCTTTCTCCTCGTGGCCAAAGACTTCTCCCAAAGAAGAAGCTCAAAATATTTAAAAATCCCGATTTGGCTAACATCCCAAAAGAACCAACAATCCACCCAGGTGCCCCGACACAAAAACACAGCACAAGTTCTCCCTTACACAGCATGGGGCTCCTTGAACCGGCCAACTTGCTGGATGTGGTACATGAGGTCACCCCCATTCACATACTCCATCACAAAGTACAGGCGGTCCTGCAGACAGAGAAAAGGGCAAAAATCAGCATTCCATGTTATCTCAGGACCCAGACAGAGAGCAGGGAATGGCCAGGATCTATGATCAAAACCACCTGGACTCTGACCTGTTGCCTACAGGCCTGGCCCAGTGTTCAAGTGCAAGTGATGTACACAAGCAAGTATGGGAGGAATGCAAATAATTTCTTCAAGTTGAAATTCATTTGGCTAGAAATTATAGTTATCCCATTCGTCTTATAGCTTAATTGGTATTATTGTTTAGAACCAGGTTCACTGTAACAAAAAAGTGGAAAATATTGAGGAAATAATATTACAGATTATAGGGAGTGACTCCGAAAACCATGTTGGGTCTCTTGGTATTTGCGTCCTGTGTACACCTTTCCCATAATGAACTGACTGACTTGACTTTGGGGATAAGGTTATAGGGGAAGCCAGCCACCATGCTGTGAAGACACTTAAGCAGCACTTACAGAGGATGTATTTGGCAAGGAAACATGGTCTCCTGCTGCTGGCTGCCAGCACTCGCTCCCCAGCCACATGAGTGAGCCACCCTGGAAACAGACCCTCTGCTAGGTCGAGCCTTCCGAGATGGCAGTCCCAGCTGGCAACCTGACTGCAGCTTCATTTGAGACCCAAAGTCAAAATCTTCAGAGGATAACCCTCCTCCAAATTCCTGATCCATGGAAACCAAGATAATAAATATTTACAGTTGCTTTTAAGCCACTGAGTTCTGAGGTACTCAGCAACAGATAACTAGTCTATTAGCTTTAAATAAACAGACAAACAAAAAAAACATCAATTGTCAAAGAGCTTTGCTCTGCCACCTATTCCCTGCCATGATGTGCTGCCTCACCACAGGCCCACAGCCATGGGGCCAAATGACCATGGACTGAAACCTGTAAAACCATGAAACAAAATAAACCTTTCCTCCTTTTAAGTCATTGTCTTCAGGCATTCTGTCACAGTGACAGAAAGCTGACTAACACAAGGACATATCCAGAAGTAAAGGCATTGAGACCAGAAAAAGAACTCTGTATCCAACTCAGGGAATTTTTTGAACATGTCTTTTAAGGTATATTGTGAATACAGGGGCTGTATTCCCCTCGGCTGTGTCAGCCTGTTCCTGTCACCAAGACTAGCATGTAGTCTTTTTACCTTGGGGGCAAAAAAAGCACAGGCTCTGCCCAATAGACTTTATTTGGAAACCCAGCTGTGCCTCCTGATAGCTGGGGCTATCTAGAGAAGTCACTTAGCATCAGGAAAGTGGAGGACCAGAGTGATGTTATGGAGATGAGATGAGACAGAATGCCATAGTCCTTAGGAAGCATCTACCTGCGATGTGCCTTCTGCCCTTCCATCAAAGAGTGTTTACTAATGATTGAATAACTTCAGCTTTCCTAGGAGACTCCTTCTCACTGCTTTCCCTCGCTGTGGCAGCAGGGTCTGCACAAACTGTTGTAGAAGCTGAAATCCCCGTTGTGTTCACAGCTTAAAAACCATTTCCTTTAACCCACCCAATCTAAATTAGGTCTGCTTGCTAAATTCCTTCATGAACCTCTGTGGGCTTTTTCCTCTGATCATCTCATAATTTGCAATCATATATTTAACTGAAAGACAGTTTATTTCATCTTTTTATTCATTCATTAAATAAATAAAAATATTTATAGAACCCTAGTAGGCATCAGGTGATAGGTACTAGGGATAAGGCAATGAACAAAACCAACAAAAATCCCCTGCCTTTGTCTTTCATTCTAGTAGGGTAATACAAATGAATTATATTGAGTGTTAAAAGGTAATAAGTGCTATAGAAAAAACAGCAGATTAAGAGGGACTGGAGTGCCAGCAGGATGAAATAGGAGAATTCCCTTACAATTTCAATAATGTCTTCAGGATAAACCTTGAGAAGATGCTTTAGCCATGGATGGAAGGAGGTGATGGCGGGAACTATGTGGATACCCACAGCAACAGCTTACCTAGCAGGTACAGGAAACAGCCTGTGCAAAGACCCTGAGACTAGGGCACACCTGATGTGCTTCAGGATCCAGAGGAACCAGTGAGATTGGAGAAGGGAGAAAGCAGACAGGGTAGGAAAGGACACCAGAGAAGTCCTGATAAGGACTCAGAAACTTCACGGAATAATACATGACCTTTGGTTTTTACTCTGCAAGAGACTGTCTGACACTACACATGACTGAAAGTTCCACAAAGTCAGGGACCATGTCAGATTTGTCTGCCACTGCGTGCCAAGAATCCAGCACCACACCTGGCCGAAGCAAGGCACTGATATACACTAACTGAGAGAATGAATGAGTGATCCCAGAGGCAGCAGGCATTTGTGGGTGTCCAAAATCCCACTTAAGAGACAGAAGGTAGAATGGAAACCCTGACCCCACTGTGTCCAGCTTGGGAAGATCACACTCTATCCCTCAGCCTTGTGTCTTCATTTATAAGCCAAGGATAACATAACCAGCCATCTGTAACAGAGAGGGTGAAAGGCTCAGGTAAAACGTGCCCAGTGCTGCAAACTGTAAATGTGAAGAAATGAGATGCCCATTGACATTGCTCAATTATTTAAACCAGACCACTGCTTTGCAAACTCACATGGTATTTTGCTGTAACTGATGATCAAGTCTACTTGGTGGATCATGGAAATTAATAAAGAGAACGGAATAGAGATTATCAGAGTCCCTCACACAGAGTACCATTAAGTATGATTTTGTGTAATGTGATTTGGGCAATATTTATGTGTTGGTATGGATGTGTGGCAGTGAAAGAGCAGGTTGGGTACAAAAGTTGTGAAGGGGCTGTAAAATCAAAAAAACAGGTGCTGGGGAAAAGAAGTGGAGGGCAAAGATTCCACCTCAAATCAGTAGTCTCATTCCACTACTTCTGGCTGTGTAGCACTGAACAGTTTGGGACTTCTCTGGTCTCCAGCTTTCTCCTCACCTATAACATGGCCATTCCTCACCTTCCCTGTGGTGTAATAAACAAGATGACACAGTAAGTGTGCAACATGAGGTTGTCCATAGAACAAATGTACAAGCCACCATATTTAAGAAATCTTCCTACAACACACAGAACTTTTCTACATATATCAGACATATGTGCATTTGCCCAATCTGTATGGAGTGCCTAAATAATTCCGATAACTACAATAACGAAATGAAGCTACAATCTTTGAGGCACGTCATACTTATCTCTCAAAACAACCCAACATGAAAGTACTGTTTTCATTCTCCTGTTTTAAGTCATGGAATTTCAGGTTCACAAAGGGTAACTTCCCAGGGGATATTCGGCAGATAAGCCACCCGGCCAGGATTTGAACCCAGGCAGACTGGTTTCAGAGTCTACACTGGCAACCTCTTCATTGAGCACATTGGGCTCTGAACCTGGACGTGGAGATGCATCCTCCCTTCAAAGAATTTCCAGTCCAGAAGGGAAAGAAGGAACACAGACACCTCTGCATTGATCAAGGAGAGCTGGCAGATACACGGAAGGAGCACAAACTAACCTGTTAGTTTTGAAATGTTCTTTTGTTTTTAGCCCAATACTACTTCATACTCTCAATATCCTTGATGAGAAATAGAGAGAAGTGGAGTGATTGTGTCTGTTCTCAGAATCCAAGGCATATGAAATTTGCAAAAAGGTCACATACATAGTGGTGGCAGAGTGTAGACAGTAAGTCAGAACTGCCGACACTCAGCCCCTGGTTCTTTAGGGGGTGGAGGGGGGTTGATAGAAAACAAGCTTAAAAATAGCATCTGTCTTTGCTGCACATTGAATAGAACCAAAACACTTGCTTTTAAAAATTATTTTTAAAACTAGCAGATGGCATCGGCCACAGAGAGAAAAGTGAGGGAGAGATTTAACTTGCTTCATTTCTGCTTAGATTAACTTAACTTGCCCCCCAAACTCATCAGCCTCCAGAACCCCAGCATTGAGGTGGTGCCAGTGTGGATAATGTTTTGTGGTCCATTTCTGCCACCAGCCATATGTGAGGAAACCCTGAGAACCATTATCTTTAAACTGTACTGAGGCTGGCTTTGGCCTGCCAGCGGCTCAGCCATTAAATATTATGGCTGACATTTCACTTTCCTTGTGTTTGTGATCACTTAATGGTGCCCGCTTTTTGCTGGGGCATACTCCATTGCCAGAAATGGGGCTGGCGTTTCTGGTGCCCAGTGGTAAGGATTCCTCAGGCAAGTGGGGAATACCAGATATGTTTCCCAAAATGGGAGAGGAGATAATTTTAGGCAGTTTATGGGTACATATGTGTTTACCTTTACAATTCGTTTCAATGCGTAGTGTGAAAAACGTAAGTATGTTAAACCCCTGATTTCATGATTGCAGAAGAGAGAGAGGAAGATGCACGGAGACACGTATAAGATTGGGTGAGACTAGATTAGGTCAGAATACAAGAAAGAGGGGAGAAAAAGAAATTTCATTTGTCTCCTAACTGGCTTCAAGTTCTCTACTCAGTTTGTCTGCTTCTGCTACTAACATGTATTTATTTAAAAAGTATTTTCAGAAATTCATTTTTAACTTAAACACAACAATTTACAACTTCATACCAAAGTCATAAATGGAAATTCATTGTCTCCATAAAAAAAATAAACTCATATCTGCAATCTATCATCTCTATGCCATACCCACCCTTATTTTTAAAACAAATGCTATTCATCCATGACCAAAAGCTTATCTCCCACTTCATAGTAAAGGACGTCAAAGTTAGAAGATACTGCCAGAGGGGCTCTGATAGAGAAGTGAGTTCTAGAACTTTCATTGACACTTATTTTTACAAGTCATATGCATTAGTATTAGGCATTAAAGGGCCTCAAATGATGAATAAGATACAGGACTTGCCCTCTGAGAATTCAGAACCTTGGGTAAAACAAACATACAACTAATTCAAACCACAACCTAAAATAGAGCATGATAAAAGAAACTGCGTAAGAGGCACAAGGAGTGGACTATGGGGGCTTCAGCTAACTCAGTGGCCA